AGAGAACCAACACAAGCCAACACACGTCCTTGCAAAGCATATATATATATATATATATATATATATATATATATATATATATATATATATATATATATATATATATATATATATATACAGAGAGAGAGAGATGACTTTCATAAATATACTCATCTAAATGAATCATTTTATATAAAAAAAAAACACACATTCAATACAATATTAATATATATATATATATATATATATATATATATATATATATATATATACATCATCATACTGACCTCATTTATCGTTCACGATAGAAGAGTCACTATATATATATATATATATATATATATATATATATATATATATTTCCGCACAATTATATAAATTCACTTTCAACTATTGCTTAACAACAGGACAGACTTGACGCATAGCTTTGATCGTCAAATAGGGTAAGGACGACTCTGAATTTAAAATCGGTTGTGCGTGGAGGTAACAATTCCATCCCGCAAAAGGTACGTGTAACCGGGTAGCACAATTGGAATTGCGTCTATAAAGTTAACAGATATATATATATATATATATATATATATATATATATATATATATAACTTAACTTCGGTTGTGCACTCTTGGAGAATAAGTGCGAATTTGTAAACAATGACAACTAGTACTAATATTACAAATCTCTTCCCTGAATTGAACACTAGCAGACATTGGCGTGTTTATTCATAGAGTAAGTACATAAAAATTCGCCTTTCTTTCAACCATGCGCTGATAGCTTAGGGGGAAATTTTCCGACTGATGCTAAATATATATATATACACACACAAGCGATCAAATGTTTGGGACTACCTGAATTGTTTCTCTAAGTTCATAAAAAGTCTAATTTTGTATATTGGGATAAATAAATATATATATATATATATATATATATATATATATATATATATATATATATATATATATATATATATATATATATATGAAAACCCTACATAAAAATTCAATTTTTCTACAAGCATTTTAAATTTATTTGCGTAAGCATTGAAAATTTTACTACAACGTGTTCTGAACTGTAGAGTAGAAAGTTACAAATATTTCAACTCCACTGCTTGGTAGAGGTTCAATATCATCTCGATTAATGTGTGATTGAAATTAATTTTCAAAAACAGTTGAAATGCCAAGAACTAAACTGATTAATATTTAAAAAAGAGACCAAGTGGAAATTCGTTTGATAGAAGGGTATCGCGAACGTCAGATTGCTAGAAAATTACAGATATAAAAAAATGGTGTGCATTATTGTCTGCAGTGACATGCAGAAACCAGCACAAATGTTGACGTAAAAGATCTGGGTGGCCCAGAGTAACATCTGTTGCGAAGGATAGACACTTGATCTTGTCTAGCAAAAGGAACAGAAGAAAATAACTTCCCTTACTAACTGCGGAATTTAATTCTACACGCCAAGATCCAATATCTGTTGTGAATGGTAAGATTTCTTTCTGTTGGGTTTAAATAATTTGTATTAGTCAAGAAACATTTATTTAAAAAGGAAAATAAGTTGAAAAGACTAAAATGGACACAACAGCACAAGGATTGGATTTAAAAGATTGGAAAAAGATACTATGGACGGAAGTGTCCAGATTTTAGCTTTTTGGAAGTAAAAGAAAAGAATTTTTCAAGCAAACTCCTTTTGAAAATTACATTAAGAATCGTGGTGGTGTTGTAATGATTTGGGGATGTTTTCGAGGTGAGACTGCTGAAGATTTTCTTCAAATTAAAGGCATTATACGAAAGGAAGACTATCATTCAATACTGCAGAGACATGTAATTTCTTCTGGTTGAAGCATTATTGGACAAAATTTTGTTTTGAAACTAGATAATGATCCAAGACGCAACTCAAAATTGTTTACAAATTATCTAAATTCAATGGAAGATAAGTGAATTTTGCAAATCGTGACTTGGCCTCCTCAGTCTCCAGATCTTTCACCAATTGAACCAGTCTGCGACGAAATTGATCGTCAATTTCGAAGTGCACTACCTAAGAATAACCAAGAGGTGTTTATACACTGATCGGGAATCACTTCCACCAACATACTTTTACAAGTTACTTGAAAGCATCCCAAAACTTTGCTTTGCAATAATAAACGCTCGTGGTGAATTCTTTGATGAAAAGAACAAATATATTTACTTAATTGAAATTATAGATATTTATATTAAATTGGATTTAAATCATTGCATAAGTTTATACAAACAGGAAAAATAAATTTATTTTTTTAAAGAAATGAAACTTGATTCATTTCTTAAGTTTAGAGGAAAAATCAGTGAGGTTCCAAACTTTTGGCCTGTAGTGTGTGTGTATTTTATATATATATATATATATATATATATATATATATATATATATATATATATATAATTAATCCACAATAAAATCAAAAAATCACCTTATAGGGGTTGATATTACATTTTATTGTATATTAATTATTTGCTCTGTAATAATAAATACATGGAGCTTTTTGTGGATCAGTTTTAATATTTTATATTACTAAGATCCACTAGGATTATATACGAACGAATTAATTACCTTTATATATATATATATATATATATATATATATATATATATATATATATGATAGAAATTATTAGGAGAATTTGATAATTATAATTACGTAATTCACCGAGTCTAGAAGAAATTTCGTCCTATATTTGGGACTCGTCAGCAGTGCGCATCCACTACCGAGAATTGAGACCCTGACAGGTTATGCAAACGTCATACCAATTGTCCCAACGGGTCTCGGTGACGAAGAGGCAGCGAATCAGACTCAATATAGCGCTGCACGCTCAAATATTCCGTGGTGGAACTCAACTTTCTGTATAACCATAGGATTGTGCCCACAGGAGCCACGACTACTTTCACCAAGCCGCTCAAACTTGAGATTAGAAGCCGGTTCAAGTAATGATATACACGTGATAGAAATTATTAGGAGGATCTGAAATAATTATAATTAAGTAAGTCATTGAGTCTAGAAGAAACCTCAACAGAATGCAGAAAGCACTGTCAGATTTGTTGTTCTGAAAACTGAGTTTTATATTCCTTTTTTGTGCATATTAATATATAAATACCTGGCATTATTCGGGCATTAGATTCTGAGAAATGGATAAAAAATATTCAAAATTCATGGGTGTACGTAAAATTCCGTCGTTGACTGTATGCCTGCAAATCCTTCGTTTTTGAGTTAAAAATTTAAAGAAAGTTTACAGTAGATGGCATCGTGTTGCCATATAGACTAGGCTAGATTTGTCATTCGTGTACATTTGTGGCTAGCCTGTCTTCAACTTTTAACGTGAGTAGTAATGAGTTAACTGAAAAGTGTTCCGTTTAAAAATGGCAGGATATTCATATCATGACGGAGATATGATTTTTACATACGGCCACGAGAATGGTAATGGACGTGAGGCTGCACGGCTGTATCAGATTGCATTTCCAGACAGGAGGCACCAGAATCATCCAACCTTTGTTGCTGTTTATCGTCGCGTTACTGAGACAGAATCCGTGTCATCACAAACTATCGATCGAGGAAGAACACATTTTACAGGCTTCCGGAGGCTTCCGCGGGCTTCCGGAGGCTTCCGGGGGCTTCCGGAAACAATCCAGGTATCAGTGCATGTGGCCCTAGCATGTCTTACATTTGATAGTACCGCATTGGGGTGGGGGTGTACTTAAAGAGCACATTCTGTCTACGTATCATTTGCAGCATGTGTAGAGTCTTTCGCCTTTTGATCACTCACCACGGGAGAACTTTTATCGATGGTTTATTAAACAAACTGCCGATCCGTTGTTTGTCTCTTCAGGCTTGCTTACGGATGAAGCAACATTTGGAAGAGATGGAATAGCAAATTTATAGAACCAACATTTGAATGCGGATCGGAATCTACATGGTACAATAAAGGCTAGATACCAGCATCAGTTTGCGATTAATGTGTCGGTTGGAATTGTAGATAACTGTCGGGTACGTCTATATGTTCTCCCAAAAGGTCTTACAGGAGCTATCTACAGAACCTTTATTTCGAACACACTTCCAAACTTGCTAGTGGATGTACCCTTGCTATTACGAAAACGCATATGGTTCATGCATGATGGGACTCTAGCATATTTTAGCCACATTGATCGCGATGCACTGGCTGACATTTAATGTGAAAGATGGATAGTTAGAGGAAGACGCGTTCCGTGGCCTGCAGGTTCTCCTGATCTCAATCTTTTGGATTTTTATCTGTAGACCCGATTAAAATAATTGCTTTATGCAGCAGATATTAATAATGCAAAGACGCTTCATCAACGTGTCATGAGGACCTGCGAAACCATTCGACACCGTGTGGAAGTATTTGAAATGGTCTGCCAGTCAATGATCCGACGGTTGTAGAAGGAAGTGGTGGACATTTTGAACATTTGATATGAGTTGAGGTATAACGGTAGCGTTTTGGACATATGTTTATATGCACATTTTACCTTGTTTTGGTGTCAGAAACCCGCGCTGAAGTTTGTAAAAGTATTTTGATGCATTTTATATATATATATATTTATATATATATATATATATATGTGTGTGTGTGTGTGTGTGTGTGTGTGTGTATGTGTGCGTTGAGACCAATTATTGTATATCTGTATATATATATTGTTTATTCCCGTTTTGGTTTTGGTAAAAACCCACAAAAGCACAAAATAATACCACAAAAAACTTGAGACAACAGAGATATGACTGAAGGATAATGGGAATGCGATGGAGGGTGCATGTAAGCAACGAGGAAGTTTTTTAAAACAATGAGAACAAATACGAATCTTTTAATTAGAATCTGAAATAGACCGCTGAAATTTCTAAGATAAATAATGAGGAAAAAATGTCTGGAAGATTTAACACTCACAGAACATATTAAACGCAAAACAAATAGAGGAAAACAGCAAGTAACCTAATTAAGAAGCTCATGTACAGGGATGGCATAAAAGGATGTGGGAAGGAAATGGGGGTTACGGCCATATGATGTTGAAACACCGGTTCTAGTACGATCACTCAAGTTAAACAACGATGATTCTGGTCAGTACCTAGGTGGGTGACCGCCTGGGAATACTAGGTATTGTGTGTGTGTGTGTGTGTGTGTGTGTGTGTGTGTGTGTGTGTGTGTGTGTGTGTGTGTGTGGTTAGTGTAATGGATAACAGCTCGGAATTGGAAATCGGCTCTCCGACTTCCAATTCCAGTCGGGTTCCTTATATTCATTTACACACTTGAGAAAGGCATGAATCCGACTCTTCTCCACCCAGCTATGTGTTAATTAGTAGGACTTATATTAGTAAATCATTATCTGTAGAAAATACTTACAATCTAAAGTAAATATTTTCTGGCTTTAAATAACTTTCAAATGGTTGATAAGCCGTAAAACACAAATCAATCGATCAGTGGGAAGGATGCTAACAAGAGAATTATTGCTAGGAATTACAAAGTATGGGAAGTTTTAGGGGGCCATGATCGACCACGTCCTGAAGGAACTCAACACATAAAAGGGGGAGAAGAATTAATAAGTAATTATCTTTTTGCAGCCACAATAGTCAATCGCATAATAAATAGTAAATTTTTTCAGGCATCCAATTTCTTAGATTTTCGTATTGTCAAAGCAATAAGATAAAGAAAAGCCAATCTAACCACAGAAAGACCAACTAAGTTTGGCACAGTAATCAAAAGAGATTTTATTTTAATGTTTTGGCTAAAAAGAAAAACGGCCGAAATTCTTAAAAAAATAACTTCAGTTGGGAGTTGCTTGGATTTTGCAGTATAGTTTACCAACCAAAGAATACGAATACCCGGATGAAAGACATCCACTTTGTACGATGATTCGGCCACATCAAAGAATTCTTTTGAAGTCTTTGATCTAAATGACCAAGAATACGGAGAAGTTTTTCTTTCATTTCATTCCTGTATGGAAACGGCTAATTTTACCAGTACCATTACAGTGGCTTACCGTTGGAGATAGGTTCGCCTATCGCCCGCTCCACAATCCTTCTCAACATTATGAACAGGAGTAGAGATTTAAGCCTTGTTTCCTGCTTAAGATTCTGTTTCCGGTTCTTTCACATTCTCTTTCACCCCCAATAACCCCTTGTGTCTTAGAGGCATTATTGCTTGCTTGGGGTGGGGGGAAATTGCCTTGATCTATCCACTATCCTTCTCCTCATCCTTCCCTCTTATCACTCATATCTGCTCTTGCTCCAAATCTTCTGTAACCCCTTGCGTCCTAGTGGCTTCCCTGCCTTGCTTGGGGTGAAACGCTTAAATAAAATATATATATATATATATATATATATATATATATATATATATATATACAGTTCAGTTCAAAAGTTTGAAGCTACTACCAGGATTAGCGTGTTATGAACTTGACAGGAGAGTGAAGAAAATGATAAAGAATTCTTAGAGTCAATGAAAAAAGAATGAAATCATTTACCAAACTCATACTTTGAGAAACTTTTGCAACGAATTCCAAACATTTGTGCTGCAGTAATCAAGGCTAAAGGAGGATATTTTGACGAGAGCAAAGTTTAATCATACAAAGCTTTTTTTCTTTTTGTCATAATAAAATTTCTAATGAAAAGTTATGCCTCACTTTTTTTTAACCATATATAATAATCTCACTTATTTAAAGTACAATACAACTATTTGGGGATCAATTTAAAAATTGAACAGGTGTCCTCAAACTTTTGAACTCTAGTGTATATGCTTCATATTGTATCTAAACAACTCATGTCTTTGTGTGTGCATGTGCATATGTACGTACGCGCGCGGGTGTGTGTGAGCGCGCGTGTGTGACAAACAGTGATATGAACAAGCTATATTTTTATAGACATTAACTTTATCTCTGATAAAATGCTCGCCTGTTCGTAGACACGCGCCCAAATGAAAGTGCATAATTCTGGCTCTGTTTCGCCCAATAATCGTAATAATGTCTTTCTTTTCTTTCTTTTACTCTTTCTTCTCAAACATTTACCAAAAAAAAAAAATGAAAGAAAGCAGGTGATAAACGCCAACTTCAAAGTCGTCCGAATTACATTCCATGTAAATTTATACTGTCTGTATTTTCGATAACTTTGTATCGGATACAAGAGACACGACGTAGAGGAGACAGAAAATTATGAGCTGGGAAGAATTACTTGGTCGAGCAACTACACTGGCGTCCAAGGGTTTGGGTCAACTACATAAAATTATTATACACCGTTATTTTATGAAAAAATGAAGGTTGTTTAGCAGTATGCTTCTGTCAATATTGTCTGTAGACCTTGAGAATTTGAAAATAAGTTGTTGCATTTTCTTAGATGCCGTGTAATAGAAGTTACTTCGCTTTAAGCAGCTTGATGCTGAAATAAAGGCCATTCTAAATTATTGGACAAATAAAAGATCTGAGAGGATAAATGTTATGGTCCAATATCCTCGCACCACAATTATGGTCCAAGGTTAGAACCAAGGAAGAACAACACGAACACAAGAGTAGAATAACAAAGATATATTACAACAGAAATATAGTACAAGAAGTTGAAGGTGTTAGTAATGACTGTCCGTCTGGTTTAGAGTGAACTAATATTGTCTCGACCCGTTACACCATTCATTCGGTATCTAGCCACCCCACCACGAGGGTTGCATGTGGCACATGGCCGAGTTTAATGTGGGTTTCCCGAGCCCGTAGGCTCGGCTAAAAATATACCCTTTGAACCCGCCTAAACTGGTTCAGGGCCTGTCTACCTCCCCGGACGAAACCTTGCCCTTCGGCAAAGCTTCGTCCAGGTTCCTCTCTGCCAAAACATAGAGTTCAACAGTCATGACCTGGTGCTGGTTACACCATTCATTCATTATACCTCTTGAGAGGCGCAGTATTTATAGTGTCCGGAAGAGTCCATTATCGTTATAGGTAAGTTCCCATAAAACACCTCTTCCAAAGCTTTTGCGTCTCAGGGGTCTTTAGTATTTTTTTCCTCTTTGGATTTATTATCAAAGGCTCTATGACTTTTCTTTTCCTGGTCGATTTTCGTGGTTCAGACATTGTTTGCGGCCTTTGCATATCAAATGTGTCGAATATTGTATCCATCACTTCTTCCTGAGGTGGACCGTTAGAATCATCTAACAGCCTCTTTCTTATTTGATTTACACGTCTTTTATGTGAGAATTTCGGGCCCTGTACTATGTCAACCATGTTCCCGATTCTTTTTTCAATTGTACCTTGCTCCCAGTAGGACGTATTGTTTTTATACATCTTAAAAAACTTTCTCTCCTGGGTGAAATTTTCTTTTTGGTACGCACGACATTGGTATTTGCTTTGTTTGTTTTGGTAGCAATTTGTCAAATACTGATCTGATTTTTCGGGCGAACATCGCTTCCGCGGGTGATAATACCGATGGCGTAGCACTGTTTGGTGTAATTCGATATAGTTATAAAAATTGTTGCAACGCCTTTTCTGTTGGCACGTCATATGCTTTCCTTAACGCCCTTTTGAGTGTGTCTACAAAACTCTCCGCTTGCCCGTTTGATCTTGGGTTATATGGCGGGGATTTGATATGTTTAACTTGAAAAATTTCACAAAATTCTTGAAAATCCGTAGATGTGAATTGTGTCCCATTATCAATGACTAGACAATCAACCACTCCGAAGCGAGTAAACAGCTTGTGGAGGCAATTTATGGTAGTTTCAGAAGTAGGTTTTCTGTAACGAAACACTTCTGGCCATAAGCTATAACTGTCTACTATGATCAAATAGTAGAAACCATCTATTAGACCTGCGAAGTCTATATGGATTCTTGACCACGGTCGATCTGTCTGCGGTGCTTTCGCTGCTAAGGAACAACCCGCGCATTTTTCCGCCATCTGTGTAATGTCTTGATCCATGTTTTGCCAATATACGTAACTTCGCATTAACGATTCCATTCTATTCTTTCCTGGATGACCCATGTGGAAGTCCTTTAGGATTCGCCTTTGTAGTGTTTTTGGAATTACTACCCTTTCGTTATATAGTAGAACATTGTCACATGACGAAAAACTGTCTGATACATTTTTATTTTTTTCTGCAATTTTTGTTTTTGTTTCTTTTATGAATTCATCATTTTCTGCTTCATTTCTTATCTCTTGTAGTGTGACGGGGAGGTTTCGAACTGTAATACATAGTGATGTCCTGATATCTTCTTCATGTCGTAGGACTGCAATTACGGAATCTTCCAATGGCTCCGTTTTCTTAGATATTAGTCTCGAGAGACTATCTGCATGTCCAATTTTATTCGTAGGAAGATACTCCAATTTGAAATTGGAGTTCAGTAAATTTGTACCCCATCTTAGCAACCTATTTGCAGTGTAAATAGATAGACCTTTCTTCGATCCGAATATTGTTAATAACGGCTTGTGGTCCGTCTGTAAAATAAAGCATCTACCGTAAATATATCTATGAAATCTTGTAACTGCAACAATAATTCCCAGCGCTTCTTTTTCGATTTGTGAGTATATTTTCTCTGCTGGTAGTAAAGTTCTTGAAGCATGCGCGATGGGTTTTAGTGTCCCATCCAGCATTTTATGCAGTATATATGCCCCGACTCCATAGGCATTCGCGTAACTTGCGACTATTATTTCTAATTTTGGGTCATAGTGCGCTAAAAATAAATCCGCGGTTAGGGTCTTAATTATTTTGTCAAACGTTCTCTGGCATTCATCTGTCTACTCCCAAACTTTTTCCTTCTTCAACAGTTCGTTTAGGGGTGCGTGTAATTTATGCATGTTTGGAATGAATTCTTGGTAATAATTCACTAAGCTTTGTAATTCGGCTACGTTTTTTGGAGCTGGCATTTTTTTTTATTGTCGTAGCCCTTTCTGGGTCTGGTCGTCTTCCTTCTTCATCGATGATATGTCCCAGATATTTTATTTCAACTTTTAGGAAACTGATCAGCACAAAAGCCTGATCGCAATACGGATGTGGTGGGAATTGAAGAAACAAGTGCGCCAATGAAAACCACGCAATTTTATAGAGATTTGGGATTACTGCCAAGCAGAAAGGGTTTCGTTTGGTTTATTTTGTTTTGCGGCATGTCAACCTCAATGGATTATTTAATGCCGACAA